ATGGGATTGACTACCACTGACAGTGAAGGGCCAGGCTGGCTTTGGCATTCTGGCATTGCCTGCAAATGGTGGGAGCTTACTGGGAGCCAGCCTCCACATTACGCAGTGAGGGAATCTGACAGATTTCATAGGTGGTGATGTGAAAGCTCGATGGGAGTCTGTGTCAAAGTCCTGGAGGATGAAATGGCATTAAGTTGGTAAGAGTCCAGAAACTTCTGGGATACTCGGTCCCTCTGTTATCTGCTTTATAAAAAAGATTAACAAAAGCTTTCAATTTGTTGTTACCTTTGTTCACAGAGTTGGAATATTTTCCTTGATAGGAGCACACAATACACACCTACCTCTCCACACTTCCATTTCCCCATCTCTCTCTTTTCTATAATGAACAAAGTTGACATTTTTGCTTAAATCAGCAGTTGGTATGTTTAGGCATAGGAACCATCATCTCTTCCCTTAAAAAAAAGGTATTGGCACCTTAAGATCATGTATCGTACAGTGTTAACTTAGATTCACTATATTACAGCTGTTAAGGGTGGTTATCAGACAGATCTGAGCATCTTCTAATACTTACCTATGGCTTCTTCCTTTAACATTATTTCTATTCTGATTTCTAGATTCATTCTATTACTTACACGTTTGTTAAAAAAAAGATGCTATTGCGGAAACCAACAATTCTAATTCAGAGCCATGGCGCTCTGGTTTGTTTTTTTTTTTGCCATTAAGTTTCAGCCAGGGGGGTGTAACCTCACACAGTGTGTGAGGGATTGTCCAGGGTCCCTGTTGCTTGGTCAAAACTTGGCATCCCATGTCGCAGGATCCTAGTGTTAGCCTTGTATCTGCTGTACCCCACTGCCAGCGCAGCAGGGCTTGACCCTTTCATCTGTTCTTGTTGTGGGTGTAGCCAGAGCAGCTGGCTTTCCTTTTCCTTTTCCTTTTGGAGACAGGTTAGTATTTCAGCTGGGATGGGACACCCAGATTACTCTTTCCCAGTTTGCCAGCTCACACTGTGGTTGCTCAGCCCAAGGACTGCACAAGCATCCTCCCTAGTCAGGCACCCACCCCATCCTTGCCTTGCTACCCTTTCCTGAAGAGCTATTTCTCTCTGGGGCTCTGCCAGGTACACCAGATGTAGTGCACCAGTGCAAGGGAGCTTAATGAACTCCAGTGAGAAGCCCTCAGCTCCATCAGGTATGGATTAAAACATTTACTGGAGATAACATGAGAAGGAAATAGGGAACAGCATAGGTGATCTTGGCATCAGGCAGACCTCAGGCCCAGGCACAGTGCACTATGCAGAGCCCATGCTGAGGTTAACTGGCAGTGTGGGCTTTACAGTTTTTGTAGGATATTCCTAGAAGAACTCTATTCATCATTTCCACTGCCAAGAAAAAAGGATGCTTCAAGGAAAACATGCTGCTCCGCTTCAAGGTAAGGGCATGGGCACAGCAGTGGCAGTATCACTGGGATATGGACAGACTCTCCTGTTAGGAGGAGGTACCCAAGCCTGTCTGCATCCACAGTGGGTGGATGGCAGAGGATCACCACCCCCTCTGTGCTCAGCAGCATGCTGGTTGGGACTGCAACTTGATGGGTAACAACTTGGTGTTACCAGTGACCACAGTTGCTTCACTATAATGCAAGTTTCCTTCCTCCTCTGGCGTCAACACACAGCTTCTGCTTGTACTTCTTGGTTTTAGTGCCCTGTGGCTGGGAAGGAAAGGTTGGTTTTCCTCGACTTCCATGTGCTGAGAATTTACGGAACACACTCACGCATGGCAAGCACAGCGTGAGAAAGTGAAAAGTGCCCTGCAGAGGCTCCTTTTACAATTAGTATTTATATTGTCCCAGACTAGCACTCAGCACGCAGACCATGTCAGCAAAGCCTTCATTTATTATCTCATGCTGTGTACTTGCTAACACAGAGCTTTCCAGAACATGAGCTCTGTCTCTCATGGACTGTATGATGCTGCCTCATCCAGTGTCTGCTCAAAATGTTTTTCTGTCTCCTAAAATAAGATTGCTGTTTTGAAAAGTAGTTATCTGTTATCCTATTTTTCCAAAGCAGAAGCAAGCAATTACTACAAAGTCATCTGAGTGTGCAGGTGTCTGTACTTGCATCATGTAAGAGACAAGAGATCCCTCCTGCTACTGTCCCCCCCAGCCAAACAGGTAAATGTAAACAGAAATATATAAATAAATATATAAATATCTACACATCCTGATTTTGTCAGCAGTTTGAGTTTTAGCTTCCTGGTTTGTACGTACCCTGCTAGTGGTAGGTTCCCTTATGACTTAGTCTGAGTCAGTTGAGGCTTCTGCCCTCCTGTCCAGCCAACCATGTTCCCCAGAAAGCAGTTTCATTAATTTGAACTTAACATACTATTTTCTCATCCTTTTATGAACCAACAAGTATGTGAACGCTGCGACCCATGGGAGCTTTTCCTGCTTTTCCCCATCCCAGTGACTGCAGCTTGGAGTTGCATCTCATGGAAGATTTCTGAGGAATTGTAATGGATGGGAACCTAGCTGAGAGTCGATACCCTCTCGTGACTGAGAGACATAACCAAGAATACAGATTTTTGGTCGAAGTGTATTCAGTAGGGTGTATATATTTATGTTCAGTGTGACTGTCTGAAAGAGGCAGGAAAACAGTGGTGTGCAGCTGTTCTGTGACCTTTATATGCGGCTGCACTGGGGTGCCTGGACAATGCTCTAGGCATTGACAAAAGTGAAATCATCAGAAGGTGCATGGCCCCACGAACAAACAATTCGAGAGCTGGCATAAAACCAGTTGACTTTTAAAGGGTATAAAAGCAGAAGCCTCTTGTGGCCAAATCCAAGGCCGCACCTAGGGGTGGACGCACCGCATAGGAGTTTTCCCAACTAGCTGGGACTCCTGGCACTGGCTGCAGTGGGGCTTCCCAGCTTGGAGTGTGGGTCTGGATGATGATTTGGTGGTATCTGGTGATGTATTTCTTCTTAATGATTTGATGCGTTGCTAATTTTCCTCTGTACTTTCTATGTATAGATCTCTGATTTGCTGCATTGGACTCATTTACTATAAACAGAGAGAGAGAGATAACACCCCATTCACGTTAATGTGCTTGTTTGCTTTAGTGTGCTTATTCACTTCAGTGTGCTTGTTTAATAAACTGTGCATATTACACTGCTAGTGTGTGGTCATTTTGTGGCGTACCCTGCCTGTCAACAGAACAGGAAGGAATACAGGGCACAAGGGAGAAGCATGTGAAATCAGGTCCCAAAATCACCTGAATCTCTGTAGAACCTTTTTCTCTGCTTTAAGTAGCATATTTTCAGAAGCATTTAGACCTTAAGCTAGTTAGATGCCTTTTAATTACATGTATAACTGCAAATATAGTAGATGGTAAGAAATTTATTAAAATAGGTGATCGTTTAGGCTGTGACTGATCAACAATCACAAGGATATAAAGATTTTTTAACCAAATAAAGGCATGAAAATTGTGTGTGCTAAAATCACCAGCTTCAGGGAAACAGAGATCAGAATGGTATAACCTGATAAGAACCAAATTAAAACTTTTACCCATAACATTGTCATCATTAGATCAATGTTAATAACAAATAGTTAACAAAAAAAAAATCACTATTCTATATGCATATATACTTTTAAGCACCCTTTTTTGCAAAATGAACTATCAATTGCTCCAAGGTAAGTGGATACGTAAAAGCAAGCAACTATAATGAAAGGGAAGACCTTGAAAGAAAAAGAAGAAGACAATATCAGAGTCTCAGGACTGCATACACAAATCTCCTGATTTTAATGTTAAATTACATGACAACCTAATGAATCTGCCTACAAATGACAGTGTAGGTGGAGCTGTCTTTAAGCCATATATAGTTCATATGAAGTACTTTTTCCCCACACCACCACTACTTCAGAACCAGGTATGCAACACTGATTGCTCTGTTACCCTGTACTGTGCTGCTGTGGGTGCAAACGTGGTCTCACTGTCATTAAAGGAGGATTGTACTTCAGAACACGGTCTAGGATTTTGCTGACTGCATCTATTTGTTCTGGGTGCTTGCATTTTGAGGACTGGGTGTTGAATTTGAATGCAACAATAGCAAAGTGCTTATATTGATTTGGCTGAACACAATGAAGCAGCAGATTTCTGTCATTAGAATGTAAGAGAAAATAAGAGTTGCAGAAGACAGCATAAGGCACATAAAATCTCTTGAAGATAATGTCTCAGTAGAGAACAGATTCTTCTCCTGTGCAGGTCTAGTGCTCAATCACTTAATGCAGATTAACTACAACTAATATTACTTTTAATTAATAATAACACATCTCATTGCAGTTAAGAACACACTATTATATAGTCTCTAAGATTTTCTACTTTGATAAATTCCCTTATTTTTTCCTGTCTAGGTATATAACTGTTTACCTGTTTCCAAAGTAGTCTACAGGGAAATGCAGGTGGCCCTAATGCAGTTTTTAGTTGAATACAAGGAATTAATTCAATCATGCAACTAAATTACTAAATACTAAATAACTAAATAAATGGAATATTATGATACAGAATAGAATGTTTCAGTTGGAAGGCACCTACAGCGATCATGTGTTTCACACTGGTAATGTAAAGATTTAGGTTGTTTCATGAGTTTTGATTTAAAGCACAGTGCTGACCTTAACAGAAAAGCTGGTAAGAAAATGGGCTGTAAGGACCTTGGTTGGTTAGCTCCTTAAGGGTGGTCTCGCATGTACTCGCATTGTTGGTAACATGCATATTAAAGCTTATTATCTAGTAATCAATGCGAAGAGAAAAAGAGAAGAAACATGAAACTTTTATAAAATGGAGCTAAAAAACAGAAGGAGAGGAACGCATACTCAGCAGGAAATATGAAATAGGGTACAAGTAACTTCAGCTTTCCGCTTTCCACCCTCCCTTAGGACTTCTGTTCTGCTCACACCTCTACGATTCATCACTGAGATGTTCTTTTTTTTTCTAAAAAGAGGAAGGAAAAGCCATCAACAGCTGTCCTGGGTTCTTGATGACAAAGTGAGCAAAGGCTCAAGTGTTCTTGATTTACCCTCTAGCTTGGAGAGAGTGGCTCTGCTCTACTTGACAGGGAGAAACTGCAGCTCTGGGGGGGATGGAAACGCTGGTGAGAGCAGCTGTGGTTTTGAGTCCTTTTCTCTTCTGCAATGGTGAGTCTATGGAAAGGTCTCCTGTTCAGGATGCTCCTTCCCTGGTACTGGTGTGTCTGTGTGTGTTCGTGCAGGGGTGGTTCTATTTGGGGAATAGAAATATGGAAAAAAAAAGGCCAATATCTTTGTGTGCTGCTGGCTTGGTGTTCTTTTGTTTTAAATCCAGTGGTTGCAGGGCACAACAGTGCATGATGGCTTTGGAAATGCTGCCTATGTTCTTAGAGTACAGAGATCCCATATATGTTATGATGGTTATTTCCCAGAACACAGTGAGCAGCCCAGCACAAAGAGTTTGGATAGTGCATGTTCCCAGGAAAGGGGAGGTTTGCAAACCAGGAGAAAAAGGTAAAGAAGTGTCTATGGAAGCACAGGTTCAAACCCAAGAGTGACAAAAATGTACTGGAACAAAGGTAATGGGCCTCATAGGAAAATTTAACAAGTTTTAGACTTCTTTGAGCCTTTTCTTAAGTTGCTTGAATTCAGCTTAGTCTGAAAAAGCAGTCTTTCAGGAGAATAAATGCACAGCGGAGGAGGAAAAGCCATTAAAGCTGTGGTTTGCTCTTAACGTGTGGTGCTTCCCAGGAAAGCCCCAAACGTGATGTTGGGTGGTGGGTGCAGACACCAGCTGTGACCTTGAGCTGGGCAACTAGGGCTTGAGACAAGTGCCTTCCTTCAGGCCCAAGACTTCTGCTAATTCTGATCCTGTTCACTTGCCTCCAGGTGTTCCCTTGCTTGCAGGTAAGCACCAGGCAGAGCATGAGAGGCAAACTGCATGCATCCATGACTTCATGCCCCCATCTGCCTTCCTCATGCCATGCTGCTTTTTATTAGCCCATCATCTACACTGGCTGCCCATCTTTTTGATTTGGTGGCTTCCACTTGCTGATGCTCTCACCATTGCTTCCTGACCCAGGAGCTGCTTTCATGTTGATTGCTTTTTTTCTTCAAAGGTTTCTTCTCCATTCTTCCTGCAGCTTTTCTGAACCTGACTGGCCAACCTGAGATTGAGGGCGTATGGAAGGACTCTACCACCTTGCCATGTGTCTATGTGCCTGTGAAGGACTTGGTACAGGAAATACTCAAGTGGATGGTGGTCCGTGACCAGAATTCTGTCACCATCTTCCGGAGGGATGACTCTGGCGACCATGTTCTGCTGTCTGACTACAGGGGCAGGGTCAGTGTCCTGAACGATGCACCAGGGAACGTGTCTCTCCACATCCTGAACCTGGAGGTCTCTGACAAGGGAACCTACATTTGCCAGGTCACCTGGAGGGACAGCAGTGACAGCCTAATAGTAAGAGAGATCACCACTGAACTGGAGATTGTTAAAGGTAAACCCTAGAAGGAAGCTGTGCAAGAGTGGAAAGCTTGGCTCGGGAAGGCTGTTAAGAATTAGATCAGGTAGGCAGTGACCACCCACTTTGATGCAGGAGAGTTTTGCTGAGCAGTGTTAGACTCTGGCAAGAAGCAGCAAATAGGTCAGAGAGAGGAATTTTGCCCAAGATATGGCACCCTGCACTTTGGAGGCTGGGGGAGGATTTGTGGCTTCTCGCTTACCTATTTGCCCCTGGCTCTACCTGTGTCCAGCGGCGCAATGCTTCCAAGGGATGTGCACCAAAGGGGAACTTTCTGGAACATTGCATTGCTTTTCTTTGACCAAACTTCATCTCATGTGCCTGATCTCCCTTTGCCTGAGCAGTGATGATTTATAGAGGAAGGGGGATGTCATCAACATCCTTTGTGTAGGAGGTGCAATGGGTGATATAGCTGGTACAGTCACAGCTAAGTCAAGCTTAACCTGTGCAGAGAGGCGACATGAAAGGAGTGCCCCCCTTCCTCCTGGGAAAGCACCCAAAGCCAGAGCAAGAACTGCCATGGCAAGGGGGACCTTCCCCACCACAACCAGAGCCAGCGTGACCTGGATCCCATCTGCTTTGTCTTCCAGTGGCAGCAACCAAGCCCATCATCAGGGCCGGCGAACTGGGGCTCACAGTACCCGCAGGAGCCAGGACCAGCCTGACCTGTGTGGCCAGCGGGTCCCCCCCCATCAGCTACCGCTGGTTCAGGGGCACCCCGGGAAGGAAAGCCCTGTTGCTGAGCAGGCAGGCTGAGCTGGTGTGGGACAGCCTGCAGCCCTCCGACACTGGGAAGTACTACTGTGAGGTGGAAAACAGGGCTGGGGCTGGGGCTGTGCAGCAGAGCGATGCTGTTGAGCTCACAGTGACAGGTGAGTGCCCACCATAGAGTTCCTCATCCAGCTGCAGAAGACTGAGACAGGGAGTTTCCTCTTTCGTAGGAGGATAAGCTATGTAATGTTAAACATGAATTGTGTCCTCATTGCTTTCCCAGAGAGAAACCCACAGGTTGATACTCCTCCTGTTTCGGAGGGTGCCTGATTATGGCAGGGTTTACGACAATGTCCCCTGTGTTCTTTTGGGACCAGCGCCGTGCAGGATAGGAGTCTGGCTCCTACCCGTGGCATGTCTTGCTCTTACCTGACTTGCGCTGCTGACAGAGAGCAGGGGACATGGCCGGTTGATTAGTCTCTCCCCCAGGGTCCCCAGTCACACAGCAGACCACCCCTGGGACAGGCCAACACACCACATCCCTGCTCACCCCTCGAGGCAATGGGCCCCAGCCAGTGACCACAGGTAAGTGACCTGGGCTGCAGGGGAAAGGCTGCTTTCACCCTGGCACTCTGTGAGTGACAGAGAAGGTGAGTGAGACAAATCCACTTGATGCTCCTTTTGGGCTGCAGATCCTCTTTGCAGGTGGGATAGAAATGATACTCCCTGTCACAGAATCATTAAGGTTGGAAGGGAGCTCTGGAGATCATCCAGTCCAACCCCTCTGCCAAGGCAGGGCCACCTAGACCAGGTTACACAGGAATGCATCCAGGTGGGTTTTGAATGTCTCCAGAGAGGGACTCCAGCAGTGTTAGCCACTGCTTTCCCCAGGTGAGGGTGCTCAGCTGCAGGTAGGTGGGTTGGAGCCGGGGCTGTGCAGCAGAGCGATGCTGTTGAGCTCACAGTGACAGGCGAGTTCCCAGAGTCACAGCAGGATGGAAAGCATCTGTATTCCTTCCAGAATGGAACAACATTCCTACTTCCCTTCCCTGAAAAAGGAAAATACGAAAAGTGTTGGACTTCTGATCTCTGAAGCACTTCGCATCATTGGTTCCAGCTTTCTATCCTTGTTTATTTTCTTTATTCGATTTCCCCCCTCCTCTTCAGAGGAGCTTCTCTTTTCCGATGCATGGAAGGTTGTGTTTCTGCCTAAGAGACTCTTTATGTGTCTTAGTGCACATACATAGTAGAAATAAAATTTCCTGTCTTTTAGATCAATATGGAATGTTCTGGGTTCTGCCCTTTTTTTTAAAGGGCTTCTTTACTTGCTTTCTGGTCTAGAATGAAAGCTGCTTCAGTGGGAAGCAGAGCTGTTATCTCTAGTGACATATCTAAGTTATGCAAAAGCTGCTCCAGACCTCACTGGGAACAATCTACCTTACTAAGAGCAGTTGTTTTGAGAGAGAGCTTCTGATTTCCAGTTTGGTTTTGTGGGGTGTGGAAATTCATGTCTGGGCTACAGTAGGTCTGCTTCTGGAAACTTTATGTTTTGGGTTTATAGTGCCCCACCAGTTGCACAGCAGTGACCAGTAGCTAAGGGAAGATGATGACAGTTGCAGGAAAAAAACCCAAATGAAGATGGTGATCAGGAGCATCTCAGTGATGTCTTGGGCTCCACTACTAATACATGGGGTAGTGAGGCACTGCCAAAAGGAGTGGTGAATGCTCCATCCCTGGCCATGTTCAAGGCCATGTTGAACAGAGCCTTGGGTGATATGGTCTATTGTGAGGCACCTCTGCCCATGGGGTGATCTTGAGGTCCTTTCCAACCCTAACTATTCTATGATTCTATGTATACCTAGTGTGTGTGTATATATGTATATAGTCTCTGTATACATAGTATATATAGCACACATAGTATGGATCCAGTGAGTATATGTAGTACCATGCATACTCTCTCAGTATTACAGTGTATATATTGCACTCATTTCTAGAGTTTGCCTATTTTCACTGCCTTGTAAATGTGACAGAGACATTCTCTTTTGATCCTAAAATTCCAGATCTTCTGGTGCTAAAATTAGGATTGGAAATGGACTGTGAGCCTTTCACTCCTGTTTGTTTTGCAGAACCTCCCGTGACAGTAGTGACTTCTGAGAATGGTGTGGGATATCCAGAAAAGAATTATACAACTCAGAGTAAGTGGAGAGCAAAACAAACCTAAGAATGAGATTAGGGACCCAAATAGTCCACGCCTCAAGCCTCAAAATTAGTGTTCTGGTTTTTGGCTGCAAATTGTATTAACAGCTGTTCTCGAGGGACCTAGGTGATTCATGGCTCGTGATTCATGGCTCGTGATTCATGATTCACTCTTTCGAAGACTGGCATTTTTAAGGCAGGAAGGAAGCTTTTATAGTTGAAGCAGAATTGTTGCTATGTTCCCAAACAGTAGTCCATTTCAATCTTTCCGTTGAGTGTCAAAACTGCAACAGCAGAAAAGCCTCAGTGTGCAACTCAAGCATATTTTTTATACATCCTCAACTTTGCTGTGACATGGCAGGTTTAAACATGTTCAAACTCAACTGAACAGTATGCTTGAATGAAAAGCTGAGACCCTTTATTTCATGACATGTAGAGCAACTATTCTGCCCAGCTCAGTCTCGGTGAGCCTCTGCTGGCTGTCTTTATGCCCACAGTCTCTGAGAGATTCATGCACAGTGAGTTGGACTGGCTCAGCCACACAAGAGCAAGGTGCTGTCAGGATGCAGACAAGCAAGGACAGGCATATGCATACAACCCCATGTGTTCATGACAGGGCTGGCTGCTGTTGGCCTTGAGAAAGTGGTCAGCATCATGTAACTGCTTCTGCTACCATGACCCAGGAGGGCTTCTCTGTTTGAAAGTCTTCTGCTGTATTTCTCTAGATGTCCAAGGGACTCACCTGTCCCTGTTCCTCGTCATTCTGATTGTGGTGGTGTGTGCTGCTGCGGTTTTGCTTGTCATCTTTCTTATCATTCGCATGAGGAAGCCCAAAAGTGGTGAGTAGAATGTTCTGGAAAACTAGACTATATTGTGCATGCCCAGCTTGGTTTTACCTATAAATGTTTTTTTTGGGCTGGGACTGGTACCGTGCTCACTGCTTCCAGTAGCAGCTCTGCCATCTGCATCATATAGGCAGTCGATCAAATTGTGCATGGATCAAAACAGGTGGTGGAAGCTCTAAAGAGGTGTAGAAGCCCCTTTTCCTCAGAGATAAGCAATTGCTGCAGTTGATGATGGTCTGCCGGGGACCAGCTCGAGAGGAGCCCAGCAGGCAGCATCAGCCGGGTGCTCCCACACCACTGAGTGCTGTGGGAAGGGCTGGCATGGTGATGAAGCAGCCTCTGCCACACTCATCCCATGCTGGTTCCGAGAGGGGTCTGCTCCCCTGGGCCATCCTGCAGCGCTCACCTTCTCTGCCATGCTGCCCTCTACTCTGCCTCGGTTACTTTGGGATGGTTCTTTCCCTCTGGTCCCCACAGACATCCCATGACTCAAACCAACCTGCTGGACTGAGTTTGTTGATCAGATCTTTTAAGGTATCTGGTAGCAAGTTAATCTTGTCCTGCTTGTTTGCACCAGCTGCTGTTTAGTATTTCCCTTAGTACCTGGAGGGAGAGAGCTCATCATTAATTCTCCCTATTCAGTAACAGTTCATTTCCTTTCTACTCTTCAAATGTAGGCTATATTTACTGAATAATTCTGTCTTTTCTGTGCTAATGCTAGAAATCTCCAGACCACTTGCTGAGAGTCCCCTTGCTCGCTGAAGCACTCAGCAGTGTACAGAGAACACACTGGAGTTTTGGTTTGGGTTTTTTAATACTGATGGCCATAGTTTTCTCCTTATCCATTTATGTCTTTTAATTGCCTTTCTACAACTCCATGCTACTAATTAATAATAATTATTACCAAATACTCTTTTTTTTGCCTTTTTTTAAGGAATCTCGAATAACCTCTTCCCAAATTGTTCTTTACTGAACAATTCATATAGTGAAACTGTGGGAACTGGGAACTTTCAGTTTAACTTCCAGTTTCTAAACTTTAACCCTGGTTTCAGTTATTTTGACCCAGTTGTGCTACAGCTGGAATATGGGTTATTTTCATTTCCTTGAACTGAATCCTGGGAATAGGAGTCATCTCCCACCTAGCACTATCTCTAAGGTTCCTATTTTTATTCTGTCTTCAGAGGTTGCTTTCTTGTATCAAGAAAAGACAGTAGAATTTATTTTTGAGAATATAAATGCAAATTATTGACACACTTTTCTGGTTATTCTTTTCTAGCTCAGACCTATGAAGTAAAATTGTGAGTATAACCCTTTATATTGCTGAGTCTTTGGGGACTGTATCAGAGAAGGGGGAAAAAAAACCAAACAGGCGCTACTTAGCTGTCAAGATTAAAAGTCTCTTAAGCAGTACGGATTAAGACATTCAAAGTTAGTCTGTAGTACACTGTACAGATGATCTGTAGACTTTCCATGTCAACAAATAATGTCACAAGAAAGATCTTCTCCTTTGCAATATTAGAATCATAAAAACTAGCAAGAGCTGTTTATTAACTCTTCAGCCCAATAAGGCCTATGAATGATCACAGCCAAGGATAAATTCCCAGTGTTTTTACAAATGTAAAGGACAGGAATTCCCCTTCTAGAAAGCTAATGTTCCAGATGCACAGAATATACTTTGATTCATCCTTGAAATATCCTTGGCTGAACCTGCCTCTTTTAATTGCAGCTGTGGCAGGAAGTTATAGCTATTTCTAAACTCATGTTTCAGCATTCTGATCTATTCATAACCCATGGATGCTATACTGAAAAGCCTAATAATCCAGTGAAAACATGCAAGAGAACCACTTATTCAGATATACATCGAATTGCTAATGATTAGAGTGCCATGGGAGAACATGCCAGCAGTGTTTACCCAAGATTTTGTGCTTACCCACTAACAGTTGAACCCTGAGCAACTGAACAAATGGTGTGATGGCATTTCTCCTCAGAGGATTTACCACTGTTTTAAAGATATTGGATATCATAAGCTACATGGTGGATATGGGCCACATTCAGTTCCTCAGCTACAATCTTGAGGGTTGGGAGATGCTTCAACTACTCTGGTTGCAACTCTTCTTTCCTACTGTGTTTTGATTTCAGCCATAACTCAAGGGCAGCAGCTGCTTCAAGGTGTGAAAGTGCAGGCTACTATGAGGAGCCCATCTCCACTGAAAACAAGTATGCGATGGAGCCTGTGAAAGACAAAAGATCTGAAGAAATAAATATGAAAAAGAATGAACATGGCTGTGTTGGAAACGCCATGGAATCTGAATATGAAGTAGGGGACACTGCATGAGAACCAACTTATTGCTACATGTAGCAGTCCTGAAGAGCACTTTTCATTCAGGCAAAATATCTCTTCCTATTCACCTTAGCCTCTCTAAAATAAGTTGGACAAGCAGTTTTTGCTCCTTCATGACTTGTGGAGCCTTAACAATCTCTTCAATGAAAATGCAAAGCTCTTTGAGAACTTTTGTTGCAAACTGCTGTACAGATCTCCTGACTTTGCCATTTTTGGCTTCCTTCCACCCCCTCCGTAGAAGAAAGCCCTTTGAAAGCCAGGGTATGCAGATCCCAGGCCAAGAGCACTGTACTAAACTCAGCGCTTTGCAATACCAAAAGGATCTGCATTCACAGCCTTCGTGTGGTAGGAGTAGAACCAGCAGCAAGAGGGGCTCAACATCCTCATCATCTGTCAGTAAGAAGTGCAGAACAAGGCTGGCCTGGGAACTGGCATTTCTCCTCCCACACGCCTGAGTGTTGCATGGGAGGTAGAATGTCTTAAATGTGAGACAGCCCTTAAAGAAACACTGAAAGACAGATTAAGGACAGGATAAAACCAAGAACTCTACCACCCTAGGAGTTAAAAAAAAACACCAAACCTGTTCTGTGCTCAATTCACCTTTCTGCATCATCTGCAGTAAGGTGCAGGCACGCTTTCTATAGTTTTGGCGCTGGACAGCTTGGGTGGCTCTGAAACTGCAGAAGGTACATTCTTCCTGAGTCCGCTTTCTCTGTTCCCTCTTTAAATGCATGTGTAATATTTAAAAGGAAATAGATGCTTTTCCTAAGTTTGTGGGTAAAACTGTTTACACACTCCTAAACTATTTTGATATGAATATCCTTGTGTGACCAGCTCATCTTTAAAATGCCAGCAAGCACTCCTCAAAAGATGCTCATGAAATACTTTCCTCCTGGCTTAGGAAGGAAAGGGCAAGTAGGGAGCTGAAAAGCTTTGTTGTTCATAATTTCTACTATCCTAAGTAAATCTATAACATGGATACAGCAGATTTATGGGAGAACCTTTTTATAATAATTGGGCAATAGCATGTCAGATTAAAAGCCATGCAGACAGATGTAAAACAAAATGAGCAACCTGAGGGGCAAGGAGGATATTGGATTAGTGGGCCCCCAGATTTGCTGTTCACACTCGGGAAAGGTGGGCAATTCTCTGCAAGCATCAGCTCAAAATTCACCAGCAGTCCAAGACAGTATTAGATGCTATTAGGAAAAGCATTACAACACAACAGAAAACAGGATTGTGATAATGGACTCATGGAATGCTTCCACCTTATGTATGTGTGTAGGTGTCTCATCTTGAAAGGGTTTAATAGAGCTAGAAAACTTACTGAGAAAGATAAGGCTCAGTAGTGGCATGAAACCACCTCTGTGTAAATGCATTATACTTTCTCAGCTTTTTGAACCCGAAGAAAAGAGAAGAATGAGGCAAAATGAGCAAATCTTACTCATCATGAACACTGTGGAGAAGATGAATAGAGCGTATTTGTTTATGGTTTCTCCAAAGATAAAAGGAAGGAGATTTCCTGAATTTCCTGTACCAGTTTTATTTCTCTTTAAGAATGTGCTTAAAAAACAAGAGCTGGGAAACCCTGATTTCAAAATGGAGAGGGAACAAACAGCAACTTTTGTTAGTGATGATGTCTTGGAAAAAATTGTCAAGATGTACATACAGCTTATTGTAGATACAGGGAAGCAAATGAAAACCATTAAACTTCAGGACTGTAAAGTTAGTAGATTTTGCTACATTTCTCTTTATTTTGGCAGAAAGGTTGAATGTGAATGAACGTCTGTGTGTGTCCAGGAGCATATTAGGTCCCTCTACTTGAAAGCAGAGGAATTAGTGTGAATCTGCTGAAGTTTGGGGTATGTTTTGGATGTTGTTAGTTGGTGTTTGCAGGCTGTAGTCGGCCACAGTGTAGAAAACAGAAGGTGCAAGAGTCACTGCTAGTCCCATTTGAGGTTCAGAGCTGGTGAAATGAGATGTTTTTGATGTGAAAGAAAATGACTTCCATTATGAAGTGTGTAAAAAGCCAGTGAAGTCTGACAGTCTCTATTTCTAAGGAGGAAGGTGAGCAGGGGAGGAAAACTGTTGCAATAGTACTGCAAGGCACACAGTTATCACTAAAAGAGTTTTCCAGAGAACAGCAAATCATGACTGGATAGTGTGCTAATGTGATGACAAAACAAGAGTGTTGAAACATCCTGGGAAACTAATGTTTTCTAATCTTCCAGTTCTAGATGAGGTTGCAGTTCTTGGAGCCCTTCAGTAATGGTCTCATTCTTTAAAATGGGGGTTTTAAAATGTGTGTGTGTGTGTGTGTGCGTGTGTGTGCACTTGTTTGGTAGGGAGGGGTTCGGAGGGGAATGTCTCTGTTACTAGAAAGCAGCCCACCTGTCTAGAGCTCCGTCCCTCAAACAAACGTACTTAAGAGGTAATATGGGGCTTCAGCGCTATATGGAACAACCGGGAAGCAGAAAAGAACCTGCTGCTGCAAGTTTTATGGCAGCAATAAGCAGAGCTCCAAAGTCAAGCAACGGAGAACATCTGAGCAGAGAGGTAGACGTGTCATGTGCTGCTTGAGGAATGAGGAGAAGAGTTTGTTCTTGCTGTAAGTGCTGGGGTGGGGGTACAGCCATCCAGACCAGTGGATTTGGCTTTTAGGAGAGGGCGACATTCTGTATGAGCAAAGAACGGCAATGCAGCTGGCATCATGAATTCTTTCCTCTTCTGTTTAGTCAGATCTGTGAGCTAACCATGGCTGTACCAAATGAGAATGTCTCAAGATTTGCAGTAAAAATTGCCTTCTTTTGCAGATGGCTCAAAAAGAGAACTGTAAGACCTTTCTTCTTCAGTTACTTAAATTTTAGTTGTTTGCTCAAAGCCTGGTACTGAACTTCACCCTCCTGCAGGCTAAAACTTTCATTTCATCACCAGGAAACCTGTAGCAAACTTCTGTAGCCTCTGGCGTACTTTGTCAAAACACAAGTGTAAGATGCAAGCTCTGCAGAGCTCGTCCCTAAGAGTAGTGTCTGCAGTCCCATCTGCACTCATTTTTGGGGAAATGGGGACTTTACTGTGCCACCTCTAATTAGCCTGGGATGTAGCAGCAGAAGTTGCAGAACAAAGAGTCATAATGGTCACTTTGCCCAAGTTGTGATGCTTGGAAGTGTGTCATGTCCAGTATTGTGAAAGGAAGGTGGGTCCTGCAGGGGGAGGGGCTAAAGGGAGAGAGCAGCAGATTCAATCAGCAGCAGAGACATAATTTATTATAATAAACCAGGTAACTAACCATAGTATCTGAGACATTAGAGGCTTTTTCTTCACATGTTCATGAGAAGCCCCTCTGGTAAGAAAGAAAGAGGCTGAGAGGAGAAAACCAGCAGCCACATCTCTGTACTACGGAGAGAAAGATGTCACATACATCATGTTTGAGGAACTGCAGTTCTTCATGTTTGTTTTAGCTAAGTAGTCTTTTTTGTTTTTTTTTTCCTTATCCTTCAGACTTACCGCTTCAGGAAGCCTTGCATGTCCGGTTCACAAACTGGTCGTATCAGCAGTTTCAGCTTGGGTTTTCAGCTTGTTCCAGGGTGTGTTCCCCAAAATTCAGCTTCTGCTAAAGTCTTTTGTGTAGAAGTAGTTTTTTGGGACAGGCTTCTATCACCAGTCATGGCCAGGGTGTGTAAAGGATTAGTTTTATATCCTCTCTCTGAAAATAGACCTATTCACTCTGCCAGTAGCATCACTTGAATTTTAACAAGTGCAGTTTTGTTCATTTGCTTTTAGGCAGGACTCAGACATAGCTAATGGCTTCTTGGTGGCAAATGGGGTACAGACAGTATGAACAGGTACCACTGGAAGCTTCAACAAAATAGCCAAGAAGAAAAGGCAGCAAAAATCAAGTTTCCACCGCATCAGCAAGGACATGCTCTGCAAGAATGGGTTGTGCTCTTGCCTCCGTTGTCTTCCTCAGCAGGATGACAACTGGAGATAGCTCTTAGCCTGGAACAACAGATTTGTTTCACTAGGTCTTGCCACACGACATTCAGCTTTTTGCTCCAGGCTGTCCATACTTACCAGAGGCAAGTTTTACAACAGCAATAAGAGAGCTCAGCTGAAATCACATGCAGCAAGCCATCCAAGGGAGCACACATCTCCACCTGAACACTGAAATGAGACCTGCACGGTTCTCATCAGTTTACTGACTTTGGGAAAATGAAGATAGCCTCCAGTTTTCATTGCCCTGTGCAGAGAGGGAACAAGCCATCACTGACAAGTGGCAGCACTTCCAGAGAATGGTCTGAGCTCATCTGCAATGTAAACACTTCAGCTGAAGCAAACAGGTATCTGTCATGATGCTTGTAGCTGTGGCAAAACTGCAGCAATTACTTTTCCCTCCCAGCTCCAACTAAAACTGTCTCCTGTATTTTGGGTGCATCTGCCTCCTGCTCAAAGATAATACTCTTCTGGTGCAGTTGTTAAAACTATATGCTAAGGCACATCTGTCGAATAAATGCCAAATATCTGCTTTAATGAATGATTAAAAGCCTATAACAGAATTCACTATGTCAGTCTACTTGCTTTTATACATGTTTCTTATCTTCTACAATTCCTTCTCTTTTTGGTATTAATTATCAGACTCATATTAATCCTGTGCATAGCACCTATTGATAACTTTTGCATGTACCTTTAAAGGTACACCTACAGAGCATACCCAGAATGCCTCCTGGATTAAAGCTCCTCTGCCATTAGTCATGTTGCCCAAAGAAGCTGTGGCTGCCCCATCTCTGGGAGTGTTCAAGTCCAGGCTGGATGGGGCTTTGAGCAAGCTGGTCTAGTGAAAGGTGTCTCTGCTTGTGGCACAGGGTTGGAACTAGAGAAGGTTTAAGGTTCTTTCCAACCCAAAACCATACCATGATTCTATGAAGAATGATAAAAAAGACTACTCATCAGAAAAATCAGGAGAATGGTAAGAGGAGTGGATGGGGACATGGGAATATGAAATGGAACTGTAAAGCTCCTTATAGTCTTTGTCTATCCTCTACCCTTCACCTAATCAGCAGTGAAATGGACTCGTGATCCTTCAGAAAGAGGATCCTAGATGACAAAGGACAGAAGAAAGGGAAGTGTTCTTCACTTGCATTCTGTCCCAGGAGTGTGGGATCTCTCACAAAGCACAGGGAAAGGTTGACAGACCTGTGGTTCTGGGAGAATGGGAGAACCTGTGCAAATAGTGGTGTTTGTGATGGCTTTCGTCACCTGCAACGGTGAGTACATGCTTCAATGTGTAAGAACAAAAGTCAGAGCCCCAGCAAGGTAGGGATCTGAATTACAGTTTCTTAATTTTTAAAAATTATCAACTGTGGAAAGTCATTAGTTTCTTGTATAAAAAACAGAGCCTGAGAATTCACAAGAGTCTCCTTTAGCATCAGATACAACAAGGTGCTTTTAAGAGTAGAGCAATGGGGTGGTATTGGGCAAAAGTGCAGCCCCCATGCTCCAAAACAAGAGCAAAACGGGATTGTTCAGGAGCCTTGGACAGGACCGGATTTGGTGTATGAGATTCCAAAGCAGTCTTTTGAAAGCTGGAATGTGTATTTTCCTATAATTTAATAATGCATTATGATTGTTCTGCTAGCATGGTCCTGGGAAGAAGAGCTGCGATTGTGATACTAGGTGTGGGCACACATGATTCCTCTCTGATAATCTCCTGATCTTCTGGCTCTTTAAGTGCATTAGACGAGGTGATACTGGAATCCTTGCTTTGGTTCATGTGCCCATGAGGCACATACGGCACTGGCACCAGCAGAGGATGGTTTTGGGAAACAGGAGAAAGGTGCTTTAACAAGAAGCACAGAATTGCTCCTGACCTTTAGAAAAACAGGTTGAAGTATGTTCCTTATTTTGTCATAAAAAATCAGCTGTGATCTGCCTCTCAAGTGACTTACTGTGAGCTAATGCATCTGAACATAACCAGTACCTTTCTGGGGAGGAGGGGAAAGGGGGAGCAGGACAAGAGGGTATGGGTAGAGGTGAGCCAAACCCAGCTAAATTCAGGTACTTTGCTACTTACAAGGGGCAATTCCCAGAAGAGCTGTGGTCTCAGTGGGCAGAGAGCTGGAATGGTTGGGAGAATGAGCCAAAACTTACCACCCTCTTTTCCTGTGGCCACTTAAGTGCTTGGCAGGGTGCTTGTTTGGGTGAAGCAGATATGAGCCACGAAATCTAGGTCAGATCTGAAGTTCTCTAAGGCTAAAGCAAAAAGGGTGGTTTTGGTCCCCCATTCCTGTTCCAGGTCCAGTACTTCAGAGGAGATCCCTAAAGGCTCCTGCTGGCATATTTCTATGTACACTGGTGCTGGCAGGCTGAGAAGGAAGATGCTCAATTGTTCCAGAAAATGGGACAGAATATGATTTCAGGGTTGGGTTTTTTTGTTTTTTTTTTTTTGTTTGTTTGTTTGTTTGTTTTTTTGTTGTTGTTGTTGTTTTTTCCCCCATTATCATGCATTGCAGAGGATATGAATCTCTCTGGTCAGTCTTCTAACTTCTAACACAGCCCTTTAGTTTTTTTTCTGGTCCAGCTGTATTTCCCTCTTTTGTGAGACTTGACATTGTTTGTCTGGAAGAGCACACCCCAGTTTAAGAAGAGTCACTGGGAGGATTTACATTTAAAGGTGTTGTCTCAGGGATTTATATTTTGCTGAGTTTCTCCCATTCCTTCCAATCAGCTTTCTTTTGGAGTCATCCCTGCTAATGTTGAAACTGGTCAGATACAGAGTGCAGCTGCTCCACATGGAATCAGTGGATGCTGGCAGCTATTTCATGGCACATAGCAATGCAAACAGCACCGGAGAGATGTTTAAACAGAATTGTGTCCAGATGAATGCACTGAATAGCAAACATACTTGAACTTGAGTGCCTCAAATGCCTTGAAGGTACTTTTGAGCAGCTTTCTCACCAGCTTACACCCTTCTTAGTTTTTCTTGATGGAAGTTTGTGAAAAGAGGAAGAAGAGAAATGGAAGATCTTTAAAAACTGATACATCAAGGAATTGCCTTTGTCTGGAATGTGAGATTTGAAGAACAGAGCTGTGCCTGCCCTCTCTAAGTCATCTGGTAAAGGAATACCAAAGCTCCTTGTCAGAAACAAGGTGCCAACATGCTCAGCCTCAGCAATTCCCTTGCCTGTCCCCGTGGACACAGACCCACAGATCTTGTCTTCCTCCAGTTGGCAGCTTCTGTCAGCTCTGGCACAGGCTGTTGCACAGAGAAGTGCTTCTCCTTGCACAGCTATACTGCTGGGTCCTGTGAGCACCAGGGAAGTTGTATAAAAAATAGTGCTGTTAATGAATGCAAAGATGTTGCATTCATTGTTAACTGCAGTAAAGCAATGAAGTTGCTTTGTTCATCCTTTCTCCCACATAGAAGATAGAATTCAGCATTGAAAGTGGTGGTGTCAGATCATCCCATGTCAGTGGGGGAAAGTTCTTGCTCTTTGATTCATCCTGTGCAAGTGTAAGCAGAAAGTCAAGCAGCAGAGGCAAGGTGTAAAGGCTGAAGCTAAGAGCAGGAATAAGAGATGCTCCTTAAGGTCTTCTGAAGACTGTAGCTGTGATGCTGCCATCAGGGGCTGGATTTGTGCTTCTCAGAATTGCTTCTCAGAATTATTCTGAGAAGGAACTGAGAATGGGCAAGCATCCAGAGGGAAACAATAAAAATAGCCATGAGGTCAAAGCAACTGTTCACTTCCCTATGCTCAGTGAAGCTGGGACAGGCTCTGGTTTGGCTGGCTGTGGTCTACAGCCATGACCTCATGCTGGGTTCCACTGCCTGGTGATTCCTACCTAATTCGAAGGATGTTCTCCTCTTCTGCTGCATTCTTACTTCTTCCCTTCAACTCTTGTTGCCTGCAGCCCTCCTGGATCTGACTGGTGTTCACCAGGTCCAGGGCACATGGATGGGATCTGTCACTTTACCATGTACCTACATGCCCTCAGATGGTTTTACACAGCAAACGCTCATCTGGAGCATGGAGAGAGACCACAGCACCTCCACCATCTTTCGGAGGGACTATTCCGGGGACCACATCCTGCTGTCTCAGTTCCGAAACCGGGTCAGTGTCCCAAAGCACAGCCCAGGGAATGCCTCACTCTTAATTGAGAACCTTGAAATCCCTGATAGTGGACACTACACCTGTCAAGTCACCTGGAGGACTAAAAATAACAGTGTGATCACAAGGGAGATGACCACTGCGGTTAAAGTTGTCAAAGGTAAGTCCAGCAGTAAAGCCCTGCTCTTGTGCAGCCAATATAATCCACAGAGCATGAAGGTGAAGCAGCAGCTGGTAGGAATAATCTTTCATGCCATCTGCTTTGTCTTCCAGTGGCAGCAACCAAGCCCATCATCAGGGCCGGCGAACTGGGGCTCACAGTACCCGCAGGAGCCAGGACCAGCCTGACCTGTGTGGCCAGCGGGTCCCCCCCCATCAGCTACCGCTGGTTCAGGGGCACCCCGGGAAGGAAAGCCCTGTTGCTGAGCAGGCAGGCTGAGCTGGTGTGGGACAGCCTGCAGCCCTCCGACACTGGGAAGTACTACTGTGAGGTGGAAAACAGGGCTGGGGCTGGGGCTGTGCAGCAGAGCGATGCTGTTGAGCTCACAGTGACAGGTGAGTGCCCACCATAGAGTTCCTCATCCAGCTGCAGAAGACTGAGACAGGGAGTTTCCTCTTTCGTAGGAGGATCAGCTATGTAATGTTAAATATGAATTGTGTCCTCATTGCTTTCCCAGAGAGAAACCCACAGGTTGATACTCCTCCTGTTTCGGAGGGTGCCTGATTATGGCAGGCTTTAAGACAATGTCCCCTGTGTTCTTTTGGGACCAGCGCCCTGCAGGATAGGAGTCTGGCTCCTACCCGTGGCATGTCTTGCTCTTACCTGACTTGCACTGCTGACAGAGAGCAGGGGACACGGCCGGTTGATTAGTCTCTCCCCCAGGGTCCCCAGTCACACAGCAGACCACCCCTGGGACAGGCCAACACACCACACCCCTGTTCACCCCTCGAGGCAATGGGCCCCAGCCAGTGACCACAGGTAAGTGACCTGGGCTGCAGGGGAAAGGCTGCTTTCACCCTGGCACTCTGTGAGTGACAAAGAAGGTGAGTGAGACAAATCCACTTGATGCTCCTTTTGGGCTGCAGATCCTCTTTGCAGGTGGGATAGAAATGATACTCCCTGTCACAGAATCATTAAGGTTGGAAGGGAGCTCTGGAGATCATCCAGTCCAACCCCTCTGCCAAGGCAGGGCCACCTAGACCAGGTTACACAGGAATGCATCCAGGTGGGTTTTGAATGTCCCCAGAGAGGGACTCCAGCAGTGTTAGCCACTGCTTTCCCCAGGTGAGGGTGCTCAGCTGTCGGTAGGTGGGTTGGAGCCCCCCAGGACAGCAGCTGAGCCAGAGCTAGAGGAGCCTAGGAAAAGCAGGAGGTTGCACAATGTCATCTGGGGCAAGAAACCTGATTTGGGGCTCCAGGAAGCCTTTGGGTGTAGCTGCCAGTGGTAACCCCCCCTCACACCAGCCAGGGAATCACCATAAGAGAGATGAAGTGAGAAAGTCTTGTGGAAACCCAGATACAGGGTGATGCCAAAGCCTTCCCTGGCCGTGCTATAGCCAGCCACAAGCCTGGTACCTAGATCTACACCATGCTGGGCAGGTCTACCAGGTACCTCAGGGGTGATGGCTGGGGGGGGAACACACGTGTGCAGGATGACATATCAGGAATAAAAATCTGTCTTGTTGCTCTGAGAGCAGGTTCAATGGGTGTTTTGGGTGTTTTCATTCCATGCACTTCAAACATGTTAGCCTGAGAGAATCAACCGTGCTCATCGAAATGGGGCAGCAGTTACATCCACGCAGAGCTGTGCGGGTGACCCCACGGAGGCCACTGCCAGCCCTGCTGCTGCTTTCCCGAGCAAAGCCAGCTCCCCCAGCAGGGTCACAGCGCATTCCTCCCTCCTTACAGGTCTGACCGCAACGAAGCAGCGCTCCGAGGGGGGTCCGGAGGAGCCTCCTGTTGCCACGGGTGAGTGGAGTCCCGTGGTGGGAAACGCGAGGTTTGCAGCGAGAGGGCAGGCTGGTAACTGCGCGGCAAACACCGGGATTTCGCTCGTCGGGAGCCCCCCACCCGTGGCGCTGCCGAGGGGTTTTTCCGCCCGGAGGTCGCCCTGCGGTTCTGCCTGGAATGCGCTGCCCGCGCTAACGCTTGCTTTAGGGCACTTGCAAAGAGCGTTTCGCCGCGAGGCCCGGTTCCCCCGGCGTGGTCACAGCGCTCTCCTCCCCCGTCCGCAGGTCTCCCCGCGGCCCGGTACGCGCTGCCGGCCGCGCTGGCCGTGGCGCTGGGGGTAGCCGCGCTTGGAGCGCTCCTGACCGCACCGCGGTGCCGGCGGCGGAATGCGGAGGGTGAGAGAGGAGGGCAGGGCGGGGGGCTCCGGGCCGGGCCGGGCGGCAGAGAGCTGCCCTGCAGCGAGGGGACGGCAGGGCGGGACAGCGCGGCACTTGCCACGGCTCCATCAGCATCCCCATCATCCCCAGCCCCAGTCGGTCCACGCTAGGAAGAGGCAGGGTGGAAGGCTTATTCCCGAAGATGGGAATGCATGGAAGTGGGTGGGGGTTTTGTCTGGTTTGGGGTTGTTCGGCTGGATTTTATTTTTGCTGTGACACCTGTAAAACCTGTTGATGCACAGCTTCGGTTCTTCTTCTTTTTTTTTTCCAGAACTTCTCTATGAAGTTGCTTTGTGAGTACTGGACATCAAGAAGATTTTGGGGCATCACACTGATGTCTGTTTTCAGAAAGCCTCTTTCTTTGCTCAGTGAAAAGCCAGACAGTTCTTTGACTCGCAGGGGGAGGATCTGAATGCCTTGACAGTCAGTTTAGCATGAGGACATAGACATCTTAGGGCAGGAGGCAGCAAGAGTCTGTTCTTTATTATGTTAGAAGGAGAGAAAGATATTCTGGGTCCGTCACTATGCCTTGCAGGTGCCATGGGAAAACTATTCTCTGCAGTAAATTCCCACCATCATTCCACAAAGCAATGGACAGGAATTCTCAGCTCTTCCTTTGAGATAAGTTCCTTTTTCTATAGATGCCTTTCTCTTTAAGAAGCATGACCCAGTGCTTACCGAAATACTATTTTGTGCAATTCCTATTCACTTACAGTTGCACAAATGTATTTTCTGCCCCGTCTTACTGTCAATGTTTAATCCCTTCATACTACTTTCCTTTTTAGAAATATACCTTAGCTATCTGTTAGCTTCCCACATTGCTACTTTTCCTAGTTACTACTGGTAGTTATGTTCTAAAGGCTAGACTATCTAATGGGAACTATATTGTGCATAATATGATAATGCCATGAGAGTTTATGTTCCCAGTGTTAACTGTTTATTGCTTTTTCTTGTGTGTATAATTCTTTCAATGTTACTTTCTAGTGTCTTCCAGAGCCTCATTCGATCAATATAAACTTTGCTGTTCCACAGATCATGTGGTGGATACTGTCTTGGACTAAGATGTAAATCAAATGATTTCTCATCTAGTCAGCCCTCTCAGTAATGTCTCCCTGTTGTTTCAGCCACAGCACTGCAGATGTCACCAGACTGGAGACTGATGGGGAAGTCCCTGTTATGTGCCCACACAAAGATACAAATTCTAAGACTGAAACATCCAATGACACTTTCACTGTGAAAGACAGCAGCCTTGACAGCATCCACGTGAGGAAAAATCCTGAGTATGAGAACCTTATGAATGCAATGGAATTGGAATATGAAACAGAAAGAATTTAGCAGAGTACCATCTTTTGCATATGAGTAGTTGTGCGGGCTGCAGATATTGAATGGTAAACTTCACCAAAGGAAACTCATCTTCCTGTCTACCTCCTGCTCTGACAAATATACCAGCCTCACTTTAACCTAGCTAACTTCCTTTAACTCAGGGGAACCTTCTTGGGCTTTGGCAAATGAGGCCTGCCCATTGGTGCAGAAACCCTCCACCAAGTGGTTATCTACCTAGTTCTGTAGAGCAAATAATTTCTCAGCAGCCTGAAGGTCCAAGGTGAGGAAGACTGGATCTGAAGGAGTGGAAACACAAATGTCTTTAATCTGGTGTAGCTGAGTGTGACACTGCCAATAACACTGGCAAGGTGTACTCTCAAAGGCATATTCCTTTGTTTGTACATCCCAGAATGTGAGGAGCCATGGACTGTGCTGGAAATTGTTGTCCTCTAGCTTTTACAGCTCAACAAATATTGGTTGTACATCCTCTTTGTCCTTATGTCTTTTTTGTTAGAGCATGGCAAACAGACCTCATAGCGTGGGCTGATGTTCTAGGAATGTAATTTTTCCTATCAGAACAGAGCTCATTGCTTAGACGAAGAGGGAATGGCCCTGTAAGCGATGAGCTGCCTACCTGCCACCCTCTTTCTTTTTTTCCTGGAAAAGCAGAATTTGTCTTGAAGGAAATGCTAGCATTTTATTTTTACAATGTGGGGCCAAAGGCATAATAAAATAGAGAGAAATTTGAGGCATTTTGAACAATGATTGAGCAAGGGACCTCCCTGGACACAACAGAGTGACAGTGATTCACCCTGTGGGACACGAGTCAGTGTGATTACAACAGAGATAGTCATACTGGCCTATGTTATGGGGATGCTGTAAGTGCTCATGTTTCTAAAATGCCTTGAAAAGTGCTTTATTAGCATAATGTATTTTCTTTCCAAGGACAAATACAAAAGGCTTCAAAAGATTTTTTATTTTTTTTTTTTTGCATATGGGTTCTGACTTCCTTGGTTTTTCACCACCCAGTGCCATCACTTTTCTGTTGCTTGCAAATTTATGTTTTTCTTCTAATCTAATTCTGCAGAACAGGCAGGGGTACAGTCATGGTCACAGTTTGACCAAGGTGGTTCCTGAGCTACAGGGCTCATTTTTTTTTTGCAATTCCTATTTACTTACACAGATGTGTCTTCTGCTCTGTCCTAATGTCAATGTTTAATCCCTTCATACTACTTTCCTGTTTAGAGACATACCTTAGCTATCTGTTAGCTTCCCACATTGCTACTTTTCCTAGTTACTACTGGTAGTTATGTTCTAAGGGCTAGACTATCTAATGGGAACTATATTGTGCATAATATGATAATGCCATGAGAGTTTATGTTCCCAATGTTAACTGTTTATTGCTTCTTCTTGTGTGTGTAATTCTTTCAATGTTACTTTCTGGTGTCTTCCAGAGCCTCCCAGGGTGCCCCTGTGGTCTGCTTTTCCTGTCTGCCAGACAGCATCCTGCTTGCCTACAGGCTTGGTAGGCAGATCAGGGACATGGAGAGGGGATGCCATTTGGCTTTAGCAAAGCAAATCTGTGGAAAGAGTTACTGGCTTTTATTAAACCAGTTAGTGTAGCCAAGGGAGCATGGCGAAGCAGATGAGCTCTGGACCAAGTAAGCCCTCCTTGTTGGCACTTAGACCCACAAAGCTTCAGTCTGCTGCCATGGATCTTCCCTTCCCAAGTTGGAAGCTTAATACCAGGGTCACATAGCTTTTTATGGCCTAAGCATGAGAAAGAGGAGCCTCACAGTGACACTTCTTCAGGACAATGAAGGTAAGATCAGTGAGAAAAGCCTCCTGTCTGTATTATGAAGGCTTTAAAACAAAGTAAGGAGCACACAGAGATGGCTGTGCTGCAGTGTCAGGCTGCTGTGCTTCCCAGGGGACCTGTCTGTCTTTGCAGGGACTGTGCCAATGCCCCACTCTAAACACTGATCTCAGCTTGTATATTGGTGGCCAGAACTGGCCAGCTCCCCCTGTCCCACCTGGAGAGGAGAGCTATACCCTGACCAAAGGCAAGCAGTGCAGGAAGCATTCCAAATGTGTGTGAGGGTGTTCCGCACTTTGCACGTGGGGTGAGGTAATTCACTTGCTGTAGCTGGCACAAGCATTCCCAGAAGCCAGCCTAGGAGACATCAGGCTGGAGCAGCAGCTTCTGGTGTCAGCAGTATCTGGGGGGTGCAGAACAAAAGAAATCAGGGGAAGGTGTGGCTGTGCTTGTACTCACATGGGCAGTGTGGTGCGAGGTTGATGCTGTGTGGGAAGGGAACTGAAAACTTAGCTTCCCCATCCTCACCTCTGCAGATCCAAGCCCAAAACACAAGACACGGCACTCCCTCTTCCTCTCTCCACCCTCCGCTAAGTGCCATCTTTGTTCATTTTCAGTTATCCTAATGTTTTATGCACTTTTGTTCATTTATTGTAATTTTAAGCTCCCAGATCCCTCACTAACTATGTAACACCATGATTTTTCCAACTTCTGATTCCTCCCAGTGCTGATCTGCTCTGAGGAGGTCAGGGAAGCTTTCTCCGGAGACCAGAATGCTGCAGAGGAAGAAAGCAATAGGAGTTAAGAAAGGGGCAGCAGATGCTCCAGCTGGAGCAGACTGCACTTCATGTTGCCACTGTCTCTAGTTTGGGCAGCAAAACAGCTTTGGTCATAAATAGAACAGTGAAAACACAGAAAGTCTCCTGCCAGTACCAGGGTTGTTGTTTCTCCCTGTGCAGCATGTGTGTGGGGTTTTATTATATTTTTGGCATGTTTGGTTGTAAAAGCCATTGGAAACAGAATATTTTTCTTCTGAAAGTCACAGAGGGCTTTGCTGTATTGAGTCACCATCAAACAAGAGAACTTCTCCTTTCCTTGCTCTGGTCACTCAAGTGCTGGGCGCCAGTTTTCCAGAAAGGAAACCTCAGCTTCCACTCTGAAACTACAATGCCTCCAAAAATTGCACTATTTCTAGTGGCCAACAAAATGTCATGAGACTTGCAGCTCCCCTTGCTTCAGAGCAGCTGAAGTGCACGTACAACAAAAGGGACCTGTTGGCTTTTACACTTTCAGGTTTGCCCCTGCCTTCAGAGCCCTTCTGAACCTGCTGTTCTCAGAGTGAGAAAGGGAGAGGAAGTCTCAGATAAAGTTGTCCCACCATAATTGGTATTTGTTAGTATAAAAGCGGAAGGGATTAACGTTTCTCTCCTTCCCCCCAGCCATCCAGAAAGAGCTAGGGCTGGGGGAGTCATCTAAAGAGCAAAGGGACAAAGTCTACTGAAAGCAAAACTGGAAATGCACAAGAAAATGATGAAGAGCATAAATGAACACTTGGCTAGCTGTGGTGCAGAAGAGTTTAGGTCTGTTGAAAGCTTGAGGGCTGTGATGACTGAAAGGGTTGGAGTTGATACAGTTGCCTGATATATTAAGGATTCACCAGGACAAAACAAACCCTGAAATCATAGACTTCGTTCTCCTTTGAAGCTGGCCTCAATGATAAAGATCAGGGTGATGTCTGTGAGTCACGAGTAGGTGCCTGAAAGAGACCACGGGAGGGTGAGTCATACCAAGTAGGACCATGTTTGTCCAGAAGTGCACAATAAGCCCTACTGACAGGACCTATTCAAAAAGCAGAACACAATTTGCTTAGGCAATGATATGCATTCATTGGTCCCAGCTTTGCACAAACTCCAACTTCTTCAAAATATTTAGTTAGAAATAGTTGCAACAAAAAGCCCCAAAGCTTAACATTAAAATTTACCAATATTCTCAAATATTGCAGAATTAGCTGATGGTACTGTCCCAAAACAAGTCTGTAGGGTCTTGGGGTTTTCTTAGTTCCCAAGTTTTCGATGTTGAATGCTTTCAGAGAGTTTGATTTGTCAAACTGGGCTGGGCCTTCCCATGCTATCATTCCTTCCACCCTGAGACAACTCTAGCTGGACATCTGATTTGCTGCAAGTCAGTTACTAAAAATGTTTACCAATCATTAGATCTTCAAGAGGGAATTACTTTAACTAAACAGAAGAAATGGAAAAAAAATGCAATAGGCAATCTTGCTACAAGTGCTGTTTAGGAATTACAATTCAAAACCAAGGAATCTTCTGCAAACATCAATGCTTCGAGAAGTAATGGATTGCATGGTCTAACTTAAAAACAGATTGCACAAACATGCTTTTCACTGGCTAATGGGATAAAAGGAAGTTAACCAGCAGCCTCATTAGTTTGTACTCCAATTGCAAATAAAATAAGATTCCTTCATGTCCAAATAAAAGATTCTGTATCATGGATAACCCTGCCCTTACCCACGATGTTGTGATTAGAGTTGCCAGAATCCTTGTTAACTGAGCAGGATTGTAAATGAGCAGCTGGCTAGTTAATGCTGTGGAAGAGAACAGCACTGGTTTTGGCTGCAAAGAAGGAGCCAGGGCCCAATTCTCTGCCTTCGCAGTGTGGAGGAACTGTACCAGCACCACTTCTGTTGGTGGTACAGATTTGCTGTTAGGAGTATCCCAATAGGCACTTCCAAAACTGGGGTAGAAGGGAAACCTGACAGCTCAGGATCAGAGTCAAGCATTCAGTAACGATGGGATGGGTTGTTCAGTACCTTGCTGGGTACCTGGAGCCAGTCACCTTGGTGTGCCGCTGTGTTGCTCAGCAAATGCCTCACTTGGGGTATTTGACAAACTGACACTCTGCACACTGAGTGTCAAACTCAGCTTGTCAAATACACGCAGTGCTGCACTGCACTCGGTGGGTGTTGCAGAGGTCTTCTCTGGGTGCCATCCTTGGCAAAAGAAGAGGGAAAAGAAGGGCTGAAACTGCTGTTAGCTTCAGAGAATTTTTCCAGTTAGCAAAAAACACCATTATCCCTCCTGTATTTCCCCCTCTAACATTTTCCTTTGTGTGAGAGAGAACTACACAAATAGACACTGCCTTCTGCTGAGGAAAACATCCACTATATTAATGCAAAGGCTGAAGCACTGTGGAGCTGAAAACAATACTGAGAGTTCCAGAGTAACCTTCTCCCTTAGCTATATGGCTATACTGGTAGCTTGAAATATTGACAAAATACCCATGGCAAACACTCAGCCATGCCTTTTGGGTACAACGTTCTGAAGACCAATGTCTCTCTAGACACACAAAGTCTAGACAAAGACCCAGAAAACATACTGAGGGGGAACAATTTTGCATTGGCCAGAGATAAGGGCATGATAATTTAACAGACTTTTCACAGCTTCTATTTTTAACCTCCTAAATTTAAACAAGTTGTTCAGGCTTCTCACTTTTCATTCCTTCTTTTGGGGTCCCTGTGGTAATTTTGCATTTAAGCAGTCACACACGCCTGAGTGTCCTTGTATTATAAGGTATGTCAGCTAAATGCCTAATTCTAGATATGTGAATATTTCGGTTGTAACACAGATCCCAATGAACATGGGAAGGAGCCTCTGTATCTGACACAGGTTAGTGGCTCCCTGTATGTCGAAGACAAAATTTCTATTGGCAGGAACAGGCTCAGGGGTTTACCTCTTACTGTAGCACTGATATAGTTAAAAATCAATATCTTTAACTACACATAAGATCTGAAGAGACACCTCTTCAAGCCTGTCTAAACTGTACAACTCTGAACCCCTACATGTATGCCAGCAATGCCATTGACTCTGTTGGAGGCAAGGTCAGCCACCACCACTGGGTCAAAGCCGTGCCATGTGTGTTCAGTTTTGCAAGGGAAAGCAGCCATAGCAGCCTCCTGTCCCCGCAAACTTCAGTCCCCATCTCTGCCTGCCAGCAGGAAGCTCCTCTGTCAGGCAGAGCCCCTGTATGGATTGTGATGCTAAATCAAAACTAAACACGTAGAGAAACAATGAACTTCAGGAATGAAGTGAAACCTTTTCTTCTGTTCTCAAACTACCCCTCTTCTGATTCATTTCCAGCAGACAGAAAAAGCCTCCTGCAGTAAGTGGAACTTTCCACTCCCATACACTGACATAATCCAGACTTTAAGGGTGAGCATACACACACACTATTGTTTTGCACAAGGACCAAAAGATGCCATTGGTTGGTCTATTCTACTAATGTCAGTGTGCATTAGTGCAGAAATGCACTTAAAGAAAATTAAATAACAAAAGATACATAAGAGAAGATTTTGCTAAGTTCTGGTGTGCTCTGTGTCCTTCTCAGATGTCGACCATTCAGAATTTCAGTTTAAAAGGATAAAATACTTTTTTTCTGATCTGATACCATAAAACTCTCCCTGAAAAGTTAGTCATGGCTCACACCTTCATAACACTATTTTAATGTCATTCCTGTTCTCTGCAGCTGGGCCCAAACATAGCTGAGTTTTAAGCTTTTAGCTTCCTTCCCAGTCACCTTGTTTTAATTTCACATGACCAGCAGCACCAGTTTGTGAGAAAGCAGCTGTGCTATTTTTAGTTTCAAAGTGAAAACCTAAAAGTGACACGTTAACTATATTTTGGAAGGTAGTCCATTAAAAACACAAAAGTAGAATTCAGCTGAAGTGTATTAACAGCATCATACAGTGGGCAATTTATTAACCCTTTTCTATCTCTAACTTCTGGGACACTATTTTATAAAGATGATCACAGGATCTGATTTAATATTACATGAAAGATACCTTTCCAGGTATCAAATTAAAAGCACAAATTAAAAAATGGTAATGCCAAATAGGTACTATTTATACCTGCTCTGAAACCAGTAGAGTGAAGTAAGACTTAACAGCAAGGGAACAACTACAGCTTTAAAGATAAAATCAGTTTCTAGCCCAGGTTACTACAAAGGCTTTGCAATTCTTACATTCCCCCTGCCTTCCACCTTAGGCCTTTAGTGAGATGTAGATAGTGAACAGTTCTTTGTTCTGGCCTCTAATTCAGAGTGAATTTCAACCATGGTAGATAAAAGTATGTTGCAATGGATAAAAGAAGCATGTGTGTTTCATGAGCATAAGAAAACATTGTTAACACGCTGACTTAAGATCAGCCTAGCAAAAGACATACTGATTTAAGCACAATTAGACCAAATTTCTGTTATCCCTCTCAACCTCTTGAACCACTAGTGATACTCAGAAGTATGAAGCAGCATGGTAGGGGTGCTAAGCTGTTTTCAGGGACCTGGGCCTTCCCAGCATTTTGTCATCCTTGTGCAAATGTTTTAATGTAGCCAAGGCTATGGGTTAACATTTCTTAATCCAAAATACTCTCATTTGTGGGCTTTAGCAACAGGCCAGTCATAAAGATGCCTGGGTCCTTGTCTCAAGTTGGTCTGTCAGTGCAGTTGGTCAAATAACTCTCCTTCCACATCAAACGCTGCTGTACCATGAGAAGTAAAAGCTTTTTTAACAGGCTCTGACTGGTTTGCATAGTTGTTGCTGATGTTAATAAAGCAGGGATGCACTTTCTCTACCTGGAAAAGATTTTCAGTGAGAGTTAGACACTGCACATTAATGAGAACAGTGTCAGAAAAGAAAAATGAACCTGTCATCCCCCAAAAGTCTCTCGGCCATATCAAAGTGTGATGGGAGGCCACATGAAGAAAGACTGAGTGGGCTCTTCAGCAGGGATCAGTGACCAGACTCCCCTCAACTTCATTGCTGAATTCTAACAGTGGAATATCTGGTCCGGGGGGGGGGGGGGGGGCGGTGGCGGTGTGGGGGTGTAGGGAAGAAGAAAAGAGCATTGCTTCTGCAATTGCAGCTTAAAATAATCCCCCATTGTGGCTTTCTGAAGGGGAAAACAGCCACTTGAAATGTTGCTGTGAGTGACAGATAAGAGGACAGTACACAGCAGAGATAATTCTATCAGCAGATGGGAATGGAGCTTGTTACCCCACCTCATAATGACAGTATCTGATCTGAATGGATTTGTCACTGTTAGATCTTCTGGTTTCAAGCTGAAGTAGGTATTTTCAAGTAAAAACTCAGTGTTATAAAACAGATTGAGCAATCAACTCATACTCTGAGGGGAAAACAAAAAGCGTTCTTCTTCCTGCATCCTTCAGTCAATCCCTTATCGAAGTCACAAAAAGTTCCCCTCCAAGCTGCATGTCATCTCCCAGATATTTTCACAGGGCTGCCAGGCTGCTCTGCAACTTCTGAAGAAAATAAATGAAAAGTAAAATTATTGGACGGGCCTGACTCTAAACCTAATAACAGCATGCATACAAATGTGGCTGCGTGGTTTTCACATCCTGAGTAGCAGCACCCCAAGATGCAGGCTGCAGCTGTTTCAAGACATGCACCTAATATGTACGATTGAATTGGAATCAAAGTCATCTTTTCCACTTAGTGAAACTCAAATTGCAGCTTGGGTTGAAAGCAAGAATACCCACGTATCTGTGGCAACAGGGTCTGCTGAACCCCTGGCCATCAGTAACCTTGGGGTATGCTTCTTCTAGGAGCTGGAAGCCTTTGTTATAACAAAGTCAAACTCAAAGGAGGCTTTGCTCATGGCAGACTTCCACTGAATGCCGTCCTGTTCCATATAGGACCTTCCTATGCTCCCAGACCTTCAGCTGACCCTGCTGGGAGTTTTGCCTGACAAACACTGAAATATTTGGCTCAGTAAGGTTGATCTCATCTATCAGGCAGGCTCCAGCAAAGCCTGATAGGCTTGCTTCATCTCAGGCAAGCCAGGCCATATACCCAAGAACAGTTCCCTGTAGCACCTCTGCTGATTTGGATGAGACAGTTAACAATACAAAAACAGAGCAAGAGGACAAATGGTGTAGCCATTTAATGAATAACTCCTGCTCCTCAGTGGCAGGTGCCAAAACTGTTCCGTGGCTGCATGCTCTGCTGCAGGGAGCAACTCCAGGCTAAGAGAGCTATTGCTGCCAATGAGGCCATGCTCCATGTTCCAAGGGGTCTTATGTTCAAAGAGGGAGCCTTATCAGTGGCACATAAATTACTTACCCCTTGTTACCTGTGCAACAGCAGCACAGGACAACAGCTTTTCCAACACCTTTGTCCCTGCCCAGGAGGTGGCAGGCAGGAGGTGATGCCCTCTCCCTCCCACTCTAGAGTGACTGGGAGGTGTCTTGCCACCTCAGCCTGGGCTTTCAGCTGTCTTTGGGCAGCAGTTACTGGATGGTGTGGTCAGCAACTTCCATGTCCTAAGGAAAGCTCCTGGAAACTGTATGACAGGTACTGCAGTTGTCCCAGCTTTGGAGAGGATCTAAGTGAGACAGACCCTGAAGTAATGCAGTGAGGACTGTCTCCAAGCAACTGCAGGAAGAATAAAACCAACACGTGTTCCCACCACCACCATCCATGCCACCCTGTCATGCCAACAACCCTGCAGCCCTCTGTACGCTGATTTTCTCCTTGCTTTTGTCATATAACTGAAAGAAAGCCCAAGCTGGACACCCCCCTGCCTAGCCCTGCTTCATTGAAAACTTCTACTCCATCTTGTTCTATGAGTCCCAACTTCCTCTTCAAATCTACTCCAAAAAGTGGGAAATGTAATTCAGCACTCTCCCTCACACAGAAATGTGTCCTGCTTCTAACAAGAAACCATGCAGTTTCATACCTCATACCTTGATGTCCTTTCCCGTCCTGCTGCTGGCACCTCAGTGTCATCTGCACCCCTCACCTGCATGTCCAAACACTCCCAGGAGCAGCCAAATGCTACCCTTCCCTCCATCCTGCACCAAGAGGAAACACCATGCACGTGTCCCTATTTCATGCAGTCTCCAGAAGCACACTGCTGGCACCAAGGGAGCCTCTCCCCTCCTGACACAGGGCTCAGTCCCCAAATCCTGGGGGGATTTTCCTGCAGCACCAGGAGCTGCAATGGTTGTAGGAACAGCACACAAAGACATGAACCAGAAATGCTGCAACCGGCACCTCATGGCTCACGCAAAAGCACATGTGAAGGGCCCAATAAACCCTCTGTAACCTGGAGTCCACCAGCCACAAGCTGCCCCCCTCACCCCCGTAGGCCCTGCACTCACCTGAGTGCAGCACACTGGACTCTGCCCCCATGGCTGCTCATGCCCCTGCCATGCAAAGGGGGGAAGAGGGGTGTGTGGTAAACCTTCATCCACTGTCCTGAAGCCATTGGGACAGCAAGAAAAGGAGCTGAAGAGAGCGACTGTGCCCTACTGAGGCACTGTGTCTCCCTGGTAAAACCCTCCTCCATCCCACAACTTCCCCTGCTGTTTGTGCCACCTCATCTGTGACTAATTTAGATCAAAATCTCCCTACTGCCAGCAACTCATCTGCAGCATGTGCGTGCGTGTGAGCAGGTGGAGCACATGCGTGCATCCCAGTACCAATTAGGGTTTCAAACACATCACTATTAATTATAATTAATCTCATCAATGAATCACCGTCTGGAGGGCAGCAATCCCTGGCTGGGACTGTCAGCATTCCCATCCCCTATCCTACCCTTAACAAAGTACACCCAGACCAACACCACTGCTTTTCCCCTGAAGGGACATACCAAAAAGACCTGGCTCAGGCAGACACACTCGCAATGCCAAGGACAGGCATTCCAAACCTGAGCTGGCTTCAGTACTCCCAAATCTCGAGGTATGATTTGGGATACAAGTACAGCTTTCTGCATCGCCAGGACTATGGACACCCCACAGGTTTTGGTGTCCCAACCTCCATGGTCCTTTGGGACCTTCTGCAGGAGAAACAGGAGGTCACCCCCGAAGGACAGATCCTCCCCCATCCCCAACCACCCCTTCCACCATGGGAGCTGGCACCTACCGTGCTGAGCCAGCCTGGCTCAATGTGGACGTAGCCAGGGGCATGGGGCCACGCAGGGCTGGCACCAGGGCTGTGCAGGAGAAGCGTGGTGGGGGCACAGCCCAAGCACACAGCTCACTTTTGAAGGGGCTGCTCCTCCTTCGAGAGGAAGCTGCGAATGGGGAAGATAAGGCTGAGGTTAGATAACAGGAAATGTCTGGATGTGAGTGACAACACTCACAGGTTGTGAAAGCAGCAGCTCTCCCCATCCTGCCGCAGGGGTGCAAAGCCCCTAAGTGGGGCAAGAGACAGATGGGGGAGGGCAAGCACTTTGCACCTTCACACTGTGCAACCATGTCAGCTCAGCGGGCCTGGGCTGCATGGGGCTGCCCAGATGAAGGCAGCCCGAGGCAGGTCACCAGGGAAGCCGTGCAAGCAACCACACCAGCTGTCCCATGTCTGGGCACCTCACCACCACGCAGCCCAGGGTGGAGACCCCCAGAAAGCTTTGGCTTGGGAGACAGGCTCATGGCCATAGGGATCTCCTACCCCCCCAGCAGTGTAAAGAGCAGGGAAGCAGGGCTCTGCTCACAGGCGAGAGCTGACTCTCCAGCCATTGCAGGTGGTTTTGCTCCAAGGCTCCCTGCAGGGCTCAACTCCCTTTCGAGCACAGGACTGCAGGCTGCAGTGCTCCTGTTCCCTGGCACTCTCATGAGCAGACAGGCTTCACTTTCCTAATTGCAGTGCCTGATGGAAGAGCCTCACTGGTCCTTGGATCCTGCCACTGCCCATCTCTCCATACACTCACCAGCACCAGCTGAGGACCCTGTCTCAGGAGCAGCTCAACATCCACAGAGCCCACGCAGGAAAGTAAACACCAGCGTTTTGTTTGGAGTTATAACCAAAGCAAGTTCCACTGTTTCTCACCTTCTGCCCCCTCCTGGACAGCCTGCAATACAAGGTGCAATAAGGTATGCACCTCAACATCTCAGTGCTGTTTCCATTTGACCTGGCTGGGAGCAAGACTAATCAATACAGCTCTGGAAACAGAGGCCAAAACCCAAACCAATTCAAGCAAAATCATTAATTTTTAGAGAGACATCCCTAGTCTCTCTAGGTCAGCAAGTTGTATAGCATATTTTGTAAGGCCAGGCTGTTTGTCAGTGTCTGCATTATCCCAAACACGTTTGCCATCAGCTATCCATGCCAGTGTGATGCAGACTTTGGGACCTTTCACATAGGATCAGTTTTCTCACTTCCAGCACTCAACTGCTGTCCTTCCTTTCCAGTTTTTGCCTCTCAGGTTTTCCTTTCCTAGCCTCTCCACTCCTGCCTGGCTCTGCAGCCAAACCACATGGAGATCCTCTGGTGCTTGCTGCCTGGGCCTGCATTAATCCAGCAGCTTTCAGTTATGTTATCAGCATGCCTGGGCTGCAGCCACATATTATATTCTTGCAAGTCTGTCCAAGCCCCTGATCTGGAAGATGCTTACTTATGCCTTTGAGTAACTATGCACACTAAACTCCCTGGGAGCGCCCACAAGCTACTCCCGAGCTTTCATGCAGACAGTACTGAGGCCAACCCTTCTGCTAAAAGTAAAACCTGGCCCCAGTGCCTGAGTGATAGTTAGATAATGAGGAATAGAGTTACTGTCCAGTTCCGCTTTCATCTGCACTGTGTTTTAAAATACACAGTAAAAGAGGAATGGAAAGGTCTGGGTAGGTTTGTTTTGTTTTTAGTTTGGTTTTAACTGCGGGAAAGAAGTAGGTTTGCTCATGTAGTTTGTGTAGTTTTTTCCTAGGCTTTCTTTTTCATTCTGTCTTTCTCCTACCTGTACCCAAACAGCTTTGAAATGGGTGAACTTCCACCATCTATGGAAAGAAAAAAGGGCAGATGCTTTATTTCCATTCTTTGTGAAGATGCAGCACAAAGAAATTGCTGAAAACCAAAATGTTTTCTCACTCTCATTGGAATGTAACTCAGTGCTGAAATTAAGAAAAAAAAACAACCAACCATAAGTGACTAGGAACACCCAAAGCAAATACCACCACATTTTGTAATTTCTGAAAGCCCAGACCTAAATTCAGATCCAAAACCCTCAGTCCATGTCCATCTCTAACAGAGATCTTTCCCAATTATCTTCTCCAACAGAAGCAGTTAACTATGCATCTCCCTTCATTTTCTGCTACATGAACAGAAGATCTGAAGTAATTACTCCTTCTTGCTAGTTTCTACACCATGTTTGCAGCATGACTGATAAAATACCATTGTTTATTTCTGATCTTGCTCACATGTCATTTACATCTGTGGGACTTCCTGCACTTTACTGGGACTAGTTCTGATGTATGACAGCATGGATCAGAATTGATTCAGGCCCCGAGGCAAAGAAACAAACAAACAAACTCATATACATATGCAAAATGTACAGACTATTCAAATGCTTTCATTATGAGAACAAGAACACTGTTGACATATTACTCCACAAACTAAATACCCAAGAACAAACTGCAATGCACAGAACAAGACTGGCTCCATCTTCAAGGCAAACATCCCCACACTGCTTTAAAGTTAACTGTCAAAATGTGCTGCATTTGTTACTCAGGAGGTCAGAGCAGTTAATCAGAATTATCTTTTCCAGCCACTGCATCTCAAAGATTAATTGTTAAAAGCAGCAAACCTGGATGCCCAAACACAGGGTATTAAATCTGTACATAGGCTGGCAGGTAAAAACAGCCTTCTGGAAAAGGATGGTGATCCCTTGCCTCCAAACTGCGGACACCTGCAGATCAAGTCCTTTGGATCTCAGGAGGTTAGGGCTTTTTATAAGTATGAGGATTTTGGCCTGCTCATTTTCGTGGCATCTGGCCACACCTGGGAGCAAGCCGTATGAACCTGGGATCTGAGTCATGTAGAAAAATGTTGTTTGGATATTTCATGCTCCCTTGGGCGGTCACACAAAGCAATATTGATTTTACACATCCAGGGCAAGAAACAGACTGAAAAAAAACCCAAATCAAACAAACAAACAAAAGGGAAACCAACCTAACAAAAAACCCCAAAACCAAACAAAACACCAAAACAGTAATGAAACTGAATTGGTGTGAAAAGAAGCAAGACCCTTGAACATTCAACCAAAAGGCTTAAGGGCATGTCTGCAAACCTCCCATTAGAAGCTGAGATTCTTCACTGTCAACCTGCATTGAATCTCTTGCCTGCTTCCCATGGCACTATCCAAACCAGCAAGGTAAAAGCTTGTTTATGGAAGCCAACATGAGTTTCAGACAATGAAGACTTTCTAGCCAACATGCCATCACAAACTGAGTTGCTGCACAGCACTATAGGTCAATATTGATGTCCAGGGTGGATGTTTTACAGCAAAGCTGGTTTCTTCTGTAGTTTGCAAATGTCATCACACTACCCCACTCTGTGCAATAGTCTTGAAACTGCACTCAACATTTCCTAATCAAGCTAGCCTTTTCAGTACATTTGCAGCATGCAGCTCTGTGGCTCGCTCTGTGAGGAGGAGGAAGGGAGAACTAGAGAAGCTGAGGGGATTACAAACTGCCAACAAATGTTTCAGAGGTTTCTGCATACTGTTCCCAAAACTACAAAATTTCCTTAGAAAACAACTAGGAAAAAAGTGGCTAAAATGAGTCACACAGTCCATTTGATTAGCATGCAGCTAGCTCTCCCACATTGTACTTTCAAGCTCTTGTACTTTTTACCTTCCATGAGAGAAGGCAGAAAGGGTTAGTGGGTTTGTACTGGACACAGAAAAATTTGGGCTCATTCTCTGTGGGTGCTGCTCTGCACTGGTTAATCCATACCAGCTTAGCCAAGGCTTGGTGAGCACAGTTTGGTCCATCAGTCAGCATACCTTCACAGAATGCCAGAAGACTTTTCTTGCACAGATATCTTCAAAACCAACGTCCTCCTCTTGATGAAGGAATTAAAGATACATGTTACCAACCCAGTCCCGATTCCTGTCATCAGTGACCGTCTTTCATTTCAGTTTGCTCAGTCAACCCAGTTTTGCCATCCAGCAGTGTCCAGAATTGAGGATTACTGGTTCTGAAGCCATGATATGAAGAGATACAAACACAAATTATTCATACATCAAACTCAAAAATAGCAAACCACTCTCCCTCTGGTTCTCCTCCCAGGTGAAAATAGCATTTGCTCCTGCATTGGCTGGTTTATGTATAATTTTCAAGTTATTTTCCTCCAACCTTGGGTCTTGGTGAGCTTTCAGATTAAATCTTGGGCCAGTTGCTACCAGACTTTCTCCTGAGCTGTCTCTGTGAACAGCAGTCGCTGACATGCCCTGAAGCATTGTGTCAATGCCCCCAGGCTCTAAGGCAGCCAGCAGCAAATTATCCAGCAGTCAGCTCTAAACAGCACCCTTGGCAATTTGTACACATGCTGTTGAACTCTGAGACTTCTCAGCATTACAGGTGCTGTTTGGGCAAAGCTGAGGGGTCCAGTGTGAGCCTAGCATGAATGCATGCAGGGGAAACACAGTGCAAAGAGGGTCTTTTACAGGAGTGACCATAGCAAAGTGAGAGGAGAAGCAGTCCTGAATCTTACATCTGGAAGCACTCATGGTGCTGGATTCTCCAGGGAGCAATATGAGATGACTGCTGTCACAATTCCTTCCTCCAGAAGATGGCTGACAAAGCCACAGCTTAGTTCTAGGCACTAAAAAATCCTACAACGACACGGGAAAAAATGACAACTACTCCTTGAAGGCTGAGCTATGCATGCTGGAGGAACTCACTGGGGAGGTCCTCCTGCAAGCTTGGCCTTTAAGCTCTGCAACTGGGCATTGGGGAGGCTCTTCTTCTCTTCAGCCAGCCAGCTAAGTCAGAGATATTGCATCCTCACCACCAGTCTGCCTGTGGGCAGAAGCCTCTTCCCAGTTCCTACAGCAAAATGCTTGCTTGTCTGAACACTGCCTCACCTGGGCTTTGAGCTGTGTGAACACCTTGTTTCTGTTTCCATTCTTTTCCTCATT